CTGGAAGAGTCACACCAATTCTTTTATTCGGAACTTCCGTCCTTGGACTTGCAGGATGACTAACCTCTGGAGGAATCGACGTTGGGACCGAAGAACGTGGTGTGAATACGTACCATACGTATACGCACAGACGCATTTATGTGTGTGTGTGTGTAGATATTTCTGCGTATGTATGAAGACATCCTAATTTGGTACCATATAGTAATAAACAAAAACATAAACAATGAGAAAACCCATGAATCAACATGAAGATAACTGATTTAAAAAAGAAAAGAAAAGATCCCTTTACATGTCTGGAGTGGATATAGTTTCGCTTTAAATTTATAGACATTCTCTAATCGACTGTTGAGCTGAAGCGTCTTTCCAATTAAAACTATATTACACTTTTAAACTCATTCGTATGAATGTAGAAGTGATAATTTTACAATAGCAGACACACACATATATATACAAATATATTTGTTTATTATATATATCATATATAATATATATGTGTATAGCTATGATATAACAAATTAAAAAATACTGATATAAGTAACAGCAATCATAACTAAGAGTGGTAGGAGGGGTAATTGTGGTAAAAAACTATTAGGTTGGTTATATTCGGTGCAAGGACATCTCCTGAAAGCGGTGGTGTAGCCTTAGAAAAGATTTTTTCTTCATAAAGCAGTTTTGCCTATGAAATACACGGACGTATTTATATATCTTGTGGACAAATATTCCTCTCTATAAAAGAAAAGAAAATGAAATGTAAATGAAATGTACATACGCGAGTGTGTGTGTGTATTGATTTTATATACAATACATATAATCATATAAATCATATAACGTATACATATATGCATATATATATATATATATATATATATATATATATATATATATATATATATATATTTATATAGTGTATACGTATATATGTCATGGATGTATACATATATATACGCGTACATTATATATATAGATATATATGTATATATGTATAAGTAGATTTGATTATATGTACTGTATATACACATGTAGTGTATATAATCCTATGTACACATATACATATATTTACATGCATATATGTGTTTACATTTGTATATATATAAAAAATATGTAGTTATGTTTGAAATTATATATGATTTGCGTACAAATATATATATATATATATATATATATATATATATATATATATATATATATGATATATACAGTATATATATGCATATACACATATATGTATATGTGTTATTTATGATAATAGTAACAGCAATAACAAATAAATATGATAAGAATAAAATAATAATGATAAGAATAACAAAATACTACAACTAAAACAAGAACAAGAACAATAATAACAATGACAATAACAACTGAATAAGGACTACACAATAATGTCAGTCTTTACACCACGTGTATATAGCCATCAAGTAAGGATAGTCAGCAAGGATGTTGGAGTAACAATGTTAATAATAACCATGATGACTATATTAAGATGATAGTAAAAACAATACTGATGATAATACGAATGGTCATGACAAAGACAATCGCTAATAATACTAGCAAAGGTAACATTAACGAGGATGTGCATAAGAATGGTTATAATACACATGGTATCAATAAAAGTGGAAATTTCATAGACTATTTATTGGGGAAAATGTTCGTGGAGTTTACAAATATTTATTGCATCCTGGCAACAAGTGATGCAAGAACGAAGTCTGTTTTTAGTGTTAATATCCGTAGCCCCTGGGGTAGCCATACCCGTAGGTATAGGGATAACCATAGGTGACCACAGGAGCGGTGTGGGTGTAGGAGTAGGAGTGCGGGTGAATAAAGGAGGCTTCAGCTTCTGGTTCGGCCGACCTCTTGTGGAGGGCGTGGGAGTGGCCGTAGGGATAACCGTAAGAGTAAGGTCGAACGTAGCTATGGCCTACAGAGTAGGGGCGGTAGTGATTGTACAAGTAGGAAGGCTCTGCATCAGCTTCGGGTTCAGGATTAGCAGATCTCTTGTGACGGAAGCCATAGCTGTATGGGTAGCCGTAACCTCGGTAATAGCTAGGGGAACCATAACCACGTCCGTAGAGAGAGAGACTAGGGTCGGCGTCCGCCTCTCGCTTCTCGACTGAAGAAGCGCAAGCAAGGGCCGCCAGGAGCACTACCACCTGTTAAGAAAATAAAGGGTGAAGTTAATCAAGTTCCAATTAAACTACCTGGATATACAAACCCAAAATTAAGTCATTGTTCTAAGAATCCCAACTAATGGCAAAATTTCTGTAGTAAAGTAAACTATAATTACTAACCAATAACCTCAAATTTGTTGTTTGGCGATTGTCAGTGGGTGAATGTGGATGAAATAAAGCAGAGGAGTTTACAATAAAACTAGTATTATATACAAACCCAAACTTAAGTCACTGTTTAAGAATCCCAATTATTGTTAGAAATTCCATAGATGCTTTAAAAGTGATACATAGTAAACAATAATTACTAACCAAGAATTTCATCTTGCTTTTGCGATAACCAGTGGGCGAATGTGTCTGATTGAGTCGCTAGACTTCTTTTATACGGAAATTCCGCCCCTGGACTTGCAGGATGACTAACCTCTGGAGAAATCGACGGTGGGAGCGAAGAACATGGTGCGAATTCGCCGTTAAGTAATAATTGTAAACAATTTAGGCACATACGGATAAACATACGCACATACATACACTAGCACACTTAGATATATTGTACATTTCAACAAATCATTACATAGAAAAAAAAAGAAAAGTTTTAAGTGAGTGTATCCTAACACATTGCATACATTCATACACGCATGTATGTACACACAAACATACACATATATGCTGATTATTTATACATTGTATAAGCGTATATATATAATCATATGTATACTTACACATGTATACATATGTATAGGTACATGTATACATATATACCTATACACAATTATATATGTGCTTATATAGGTGTAGTGTACACACCCACACACAAATATATATATCTGTATGTTTATACGTAAATATATGTGTATGCGGAAGTTTCTTATATATTATGGTCATATATGTTTATAGCACTATATATATGCATATATATATAAAAATATACAGTATATGTATATATATTTATATATATATCTTCAATAATAACAACAAAAATAACTATAATATAAGATATAATAAGAACCAATAATAATGATAATGAGGATGTGAATGAATAATAAGGATCACAATGCGCATGGTATTAATAAAAGTGGAAAGTTTATAGATTATTTATTGGGGAGAAATGTTTGTGGAGCCCACAAACATTTATTGCATCCTGGCAACAAGTGATGCAAGGAAGAAGTCTAGATCCATACTGATAACGGTAACGTCAGTGTTAATATCCATAGCCCCTGCCGTAGCCATAGCCCTAGCTGTAGGGATAACCATGGGTGTAGGAGTAGGAGTGCGGGTGAACAAAGGAGGCTTCAGCTTCTGGTTCGGTCGATCTCCTGTGGAGGGCGTGGGAGTGGCCATAGGAATAGCCGTAGGTGTGAGGTCGAACGTAGCTATGGCCTACAGAATAGGGGCGGTAGTGAGAGAGCGACTAGGGTCGGCGTCCGCCTCTCGCTTCTCGACTGAAGAAGCACAAGCAAGGGCCGCCAGGAGCACTACGCCTGTTAAGAAAATAAAGGGTGAAGTTTGATACACACATGCACGCACGTATATATATATATATATATATATATATATATATATATATATATATATATATATATATATATATATATATATATATATATATATATATATATATTATATATATATATATATATATATATATATATATATATATATATATATATATATATATATATATATATATATATATATATATATATATATATATATATATATATATATATATATATATATATATATATATATATATATATATATATATATATATATATATATATATATATATATATATATATATATATATATATATATATATATATATATATATTATATATATATATATATATATATATATATATATATATATATATATATATATATATATATATATATATATATATATATATATATATATATATATATATTATATATATATATATATATATATATATATATATATATATATATATATATATATATATATATATATATATATATATATATATATATATATATATATATATATATATATATATATATATATATATATATATATATATATATATATATATATATATATATATATATATATATATATATATATATATATATATATATATATATATATATATATATATATATATATATATATATATATATATATATATATATATATATATATATATATATATATATATATATATATATATATATATATATATATATATATATATATATATATATATATATATATATATATATATATATATATATATATATATATATATATATATATATATATATATATATATATATATATATATATATATATATATATATATATATATATATATATATATATATATATATATATATATATATATATATATATATATATATATATATATATCTGTATGTTTATATGTAAATATATGTGTATGCGTATGTTTCTTATATATTATGGACATATATGTTTATAGCACTATATATATGCACATATATAAAACTGTTACAGTAGATGTATATATATTTATATATATATCTTCAATAATAACAACAAAAATAACTATAATATAAGATATAATAAGAACCAATAATAATGATAATGATAATCAAGCACTAATAAGAACCAATAATAATGATAACCAAGCAATAATAATATTAAAATGACAACTGAATAAGGACATGAGTCGATGCGACGAAACGGCCCAAAACATCTATACGGGTGTGGTAATCTTAAAAGACGAAGGACTGGCTTGACAGGACTAGCTTAATCAATCAAATAAAAAGGCAGACTGTAAGACTGAAATAGCACGGCGGGCCACGTGTTTGACACTCCTGGACTACACAATCATTAGCATGGCACAATAATATTGTTCGAGTAATGCTAAACGGTAATAGTCATGTATGAAGCCAGTGTATAAGGACTGTATTCGAAAGCCCTACAATATGAACGAGCAAAGCACAAATTTTGCTTTTCGGTAGATGTACTTGGGCGAACCTTGGACGGCTCAGACCTTGTATGTTGTCTGTTGTACGATAAAATAAATATGTTCTGTCTGATAATAAATTTTATAACGGTTCCTATGTGCCTTTCTAAAAGTCATTGACTGACCATTCGTCTTATAATGTTTGATTTATATTTTTAAATTTCAATTGATTGACAATTCCAATCCCTTTCTTAAAAGAGTAAATTTTGTTTGCTGTCCTAGAAGCTGTCCGAAATTAAAGTAAACGCAGTGAACTGTTAGTTATTGTAGTTATGCTTATTTCAGTTGTTCTTACCATTGCTTTAAACATTTCTGTAGTATTGTTAGAATAATCAGCAAGAATGTTGGAGTAATAGAGCTAATAATAAAGAAAACAACGATGATTAGGATGATGATAGTAATACTAGTATTGAGGATAATACAAATGGTAATAAAGACAATCTAATAATAATGACACTTGGAAAGGTAATGTTAATGAGGATGTGAATGAATAATAATGATCACAATGCGCATGGTATTAATAAAAATGGAAAGTTCATAGATTATTTATTGAGGAGAAATATTTGTGGAGTCCACAAACATTTATTGCATCCTGGCAACAAGTGATACAAGGAAGAAGTCTAGATCCATACTGATAACGGTAACGCCAGTGTTAATGTCCATAGCCCCTGCCGTAGCCATAGCCCTAGCTGTAGGGATAACCATAGGTGACGACAGGAGCGGTGTGGGTGTAGTAGGAGTGCGGGTGAACAAAGGAGGCTTCAGCTTCTGGTTCGGCCGATCTCCTGTGGAGGGCGTGGGAGTGGCCATAGGGATAGCCGTAGGTGTGAGGTCGAACGTAGCTATGGCCTACAGAATAGGGGCGGTAATGAGAGAGCGACTAGGGTCGGCGTCCGCCTCTCGCTTCTCGACTGAAGAAGCACAAGCAAGGGCCGCCAGGAGCACTACCGCCTGTTAAGAAAATAAAGGGTGAAGTTTGATACACACATGCACGCACGTATATATATATATATATATATATAAACAATACATATAATCATGTATACACATATGTATATAGACGTACATATATTCATATGTATTTATACAATGTATACGTATATATTTAAAACTTTATATATTGTGTATATATATACACATATATACGTGTACATTATATAAATACATAAATATGTGTAGATATATTTATATGTACATACGATTATATGTACTGTATATTAAAGTATACATGTATATAGTATATATAATATGTGAACTAAAAAATATATTCATGTCTAAAATTATATACGATATACATATACACATTTACACATGTATACACGTATACATATTTATGATACATACAGTATGTAAAGATATAAACATATCTATATTTTTGGTATATACAGCATATATAGGACTACACAGTATTTTCAATCGTATATTGCTAAGTTTTTATGCCACGTATATATAACCAGCTAATGATATTACACTAATAATAACCATAATGACGATGATTACGATGATGATAGTAATAATAAAACATGATATGAATGGTAATATACATGAATATATATACCTACACACACATATATACATATATGGGTGTAGTGAACTATATATGTATATATCTATATATATGTATATATGTGCGTGTATATGTTTGTGTATGTCTTATATATAAATATATATGTTTATAACATATATATGTATATATGTATATGTGTGTATATATCTATGATGTATACAGTATATGTTTATACACACATACTCACACACACACACGCATATATATATATATATATATATATATATATATATATATATATATCATCATCAATGATAATGATAATATCAATAAAATAACTGATAATAATAAAGATAACAGTGATGATAATAAATAATGATAACAGTAATAATAATAATGATAATAATAATAATTAAAGCAATAATAATACTGAAATAACAACTGAATGAGGACTACACCTGGGCTGTCAAACTCATTTACAGCAGGGGCCCATAATCATGAGTCTCCGCAAACGTCTATATAGATGACCTAAAAACGTAGGCTTTACATATAACACTATGGTAGAGAAAAAAAAAAAAATCTGTGGTAATCTTAAAAGACGAAGGACTGACTCAATTATGTAAAAGGGTCGACTGTAAGATTGATATAGCATGTACCGCGGACATGGGAGTGTGGCGGGCCGCGTGTTTGACACCCCTGAACTACACGATCATTAGTATTTCACTGTAATATTGTAATGCTAAGCGATCATACTCGTGTATAAAGCCAGAGCATAAAGATTGCACTCGAAACCCCTTTAATATGAACGAGCAAAGCACAAATTTTGCTCTTCTGTAGA